ATCGCAAGGTGTGAAGAACGAGTGAGGGAAAATGAGGTATCAGGGGCTCTGCTTTTTGTTTAGTACCCAGCGGTGAGAGGGGTGTCTGGAAATGTGGTGACCAGATGCTCCAAAGACTGTAAATTCCCACTGGGAGAGGGGAAGTCGAATGCCAGCCTCAGTCAGCTGCGCTTTTCCCTAATCCCTGAGTCAGATTTCGAGCTCAGACAGAGATGGCTTTATCCTGTTCCCCGTGGGGGTGGGGCTTTGTCCAAGTGCCCCTCTGGCCCATGATGTTTAGGCCACTGGCCATTGGGAAGGCCAACTGGGGCAGATCCACTGGCAATGTAGAATGAGATCAAAGACCAAGCAAAGGGGACAGGGTGGCCGAGTGGACAAGCAGACTCCTAGGGCACTCTGACAGTGGGCCCCTGAGACAGCGGGACCCGCTCCAGAACTCACTGCCAGGCACTTCTTGGCTCGGCCGAGTAGGGCAGAACATCCAGGTCAAGAGTCCCCAGGTGCAGCCCTTGAGTGGGCAGGGGTGGGGAAAGATGGTTAAATCTACAACACTACACAGATTGGCCTGTGCTGGCCAAACCCTCACTTTTTACCTCATTCATTCACATTATTGATTCAACAAATAGAGCAGAGCCTGCTTCGCATCCCAGGCTCCAGAGCCAGGTAGAGCTGGCGTGCACTGTGGCTCTCCGACTTCCTAGCCATGTGTCCTTGGACGAGTTACCCGACCTCTCTCGGTCTCTGCTTTCTCGTCTGTTGCAGAGCGATAATAATAAACACATCTGTGGGTTGTTGTGAAGATTAGATGAGATAGAGCGTTCTGCCCAGAGCCTACAAAGGGTAAAATACTTAGCAAATTATAACTTTTGTCATTGTTATTATTTCCGTTATTGTTATTATCATTAATTTCAGAACCATTAGTGTAGGGGTGGAGGGTTCTTCCTCATCGCGATGATCCCTTCCATGGGGAAGAGGTCCCACTTCACTCTCGGTTTCTCTGTCCCCTCATCTACTGACTCCTAGGGAAGAAAGAGTGATAGTATGTTTATTTTAGTTTGGGAAGAAAAAAAATCAGGCAGGTGCAGCCCAGCCCCTTTCTTTACACCTCTTGGAAGCGAGCTTCTTCTGCTCCGCCCCTCCTCCATCCGGGACATTTCACAAGTGCCTGTCCGGAGCCGCTGTGACCAGGCCGAGGTCGATCTTTTTAGGCTGTGGGTTCAGTAGCAAGAAATCTACCAGTCCACAAATACAAACTCCATTTCCCATTTTATCAGTAACAAAGATGATACCGTGTTTCTTTCTTAATCAGTTCATAGCTCTGGTGAAAAGGAGAAATGCTGTTTATGGGGTGCCCCTCAAATCCCAACAATTATAAATAATCGTTTGCACACACAGAGCTGAGATATGACCACCATCAGTTCAGTGAAACCGTTCAAAGGGAGAGTCGAATTCAAATCCAGATTTTCTTCTTCCCTTGAATCCCACGGGCATCCCCATCAACATTCCAAAGACTTGATGACCCTGTGATTTCAAGCAGAAATTTACAGTTTCATTATATAAAAGACAAAAACGGGGCTCCTTGCCCATTTATTCTTCTTAACCCACTTCCTCCCTGGAGCCGAGGTTAGCAGTTTTCATTACCACGGCTTACTTTTTTGTTTAGATCGCCCCTCCCTGCTGGATTCCAGATCCTTATCCCAGGCCTGATGCAGGAGAGGATTTCTTTTATGTGGCTTTTCTTTATGGGCTTCCAGGGCTGAGCTACCTTTGGTAAACTAGAGGTGCCTTGGACGCCCTGGCGATGAGGAGGGTTTCGTTTGTGGAGGAGGACTCTTGCTTGGAAATGGTGATTGCATGAAGCAGAGAGATGCTGAGATTAGGGGAAGTGAGAGCATTCCAGCTCAATAAATCAATCCCCTTTTAATTGTGTCCCCGTCAGTCAACATTCTCCCAGAGTCTGGAGGGCAAGGAGCTTGTTAGCAGAGTGATTCCTCACTGCCCTTTGTGCAGCTGAGCAGACTGTCAATCAGATGAAGCCACAGCAAGGAGAGGCTGGTGCAGGGGCTGCCGCCTCAGCTCCTGTGAAAAAAAAGGAGCCAATCAATACTCTTGGCTCCATTCGGAGCTCCTGAGAAATTTCAACCTGGGTTTTAATCTCTGTGCAAACAATGGAGTTCTAACCCCATTTTCTTAAACCAACCGGCTCACCTTGCGTATTTCTAATGCCTTGTACATTAAAGATCTTAAAATCACTGGCTATACCTTCCAAGCAGGCTCCAAAGGTTGTTAGACAATACAGCTTCTATTTGGCACCTAAACATGTCTTTCCTCATAAGAGAGGTGGTCCTGCCTCTCTTGTTCTTCCAGCAACATGCTGACAATAGGTTTACACCCACAAGGTGAATAAAAAGCTTAGCCATATTATTATTAACCGAATTATTCACAAAAGCTAAAAATGTATGAGAATCACTTGAGAGTCTTGCGAAAATGGGGATTCTGATTCGTGAAGTCTGAAGAGGATCCCAACGGTCTGTATTTCTAACAAGCTCCCAGATGCTGCTACTGCCGGCGGCCCATGGCCCAGACGTTGAGTAGTAAGGATCTAGAGTTAACTTATAACTTTTCATCAGGATAATGTTCCAAATATTAACATTGTCTCCTTAGTCCACGCTCTGTGGCCTCGCACACCTGGACAAGTTATTTACACTCAGTCAGCGCACTTTCCTCACTGGCATCTCAGGAGACAATGCACAGAAGTGCTTAGGACAGTACCCAGCACAGAGTAGGCATTTCATAAATGTTTCTGTCGATACGAGGGCCAGGCAAACTACAGCCTGCAGCCAAACCCGTCCTGCCACCTGTTTGTAGGAATAGTGTTAGCACAACACAGCCATGCTCACGTATTTCTGTATTGTCTGTGGCTTCTTCTGCACTAAAATGGGAGACTTGAGAAGTTACAACAGAGACTGTATGGCAGCAGTCCCCAACCTTTTTGGCACCAGGGACCGGTGCTCCTTTGAGAATCTAATGCCTGATGATGTGAGGTGGAGCTGAGGCAGTGATGCTAGTACTGGGGAAGTGGCTGCAAATACAGATGAAGCTTTGCTTGCTTGCCCACCACTCACCTCCTGCTGTGTGGCCCTGTTCCTAACGGGCCACAGACCGGTACCCAGTCAGCAGCGAGTATTGGGGATCTCTACTGTATGGAACACAAACCCCGATGTACTTACTATGGGGCCCTTCACAGAAAAAGTTTGCCAACCTCTCTGATCTATCTCATTTATTCAACAATAAAAATTTACCAAGTGCTTATTGTGTACCAGGTAGCGGGCTGGGCCCTAGAAATAATGAAAAGTCTCTTCCGCTGAAAGATCTCAGCTTCTAATAAATACTTCATTAATCCCTATGATATCCCAGACATACACTATTTCCAGTCTCTCTGCTTTAAAATGAATTTGTAACAGCTTCTACTTCAGAATGTTTGCTGTATGGACTTATTGAGCCAATGTATTTTAAATTCTTAGAACATTGCCTAGAGTGTATTAAGTGTTCAATAAATGTTAGCCATTATTATCATTATCCATATGGGGTTTTCATTTAAATTTTACATTCACAAGGGTATTACCGTTGCTGTTTTATAGATGTGGGAACCGCACGCAGCCAGGATCCTTGGTCTTATGAATTTGAAGCCACCCTGTGCAGTCAGTTCACAAATATCTCCCCATCGTCCTGTCCCTCGTCATCTCTTACAGTCTGGCCAGGACGGTCCTCAAGTTTGGTACAATAACGACAATAAAAACATCACCTTTAGCTAATAGCTAGAGGCACCATAGGGAGGGCAGCATCACAACGGATCACAAGCCATGAGGTAGGCACCTTATATTTTCTGGACATAGATACAAAAAGGGACATTTCCAAAGGATTTGTCTCACAGCTAATAAGTGATTGAATCGGGACTCAAGCCCGGTTCCACTTGACTCCAGGACCCACAGAACAACTCCTGCACTCCACTGCAAACATCAGACAGTTCGTGGGCTTGCGATAAACATTTGAGGTATCCTTGCAGATGGCACTTATGACCCAATGCTGAGTAACCTCACACCCCATGAATTAGCAAAACCCTTCACGGACCTTTGGTTGGCTGGCAACAGATGAATCAGTCGCAGAGCTGTACTGACATCTGCTCCCAGGAGAACAAACCAGAAACTAAAGGCAGAGAATGGTCAAAGCTATTCATTAGGCCCTGTGGCCCAAGGTGAGAAGCAGAGGCTTTGGGTTCTGATCCAGGTTGATGAGCGCACCTTTGCCTAAAGGCTTAGTACTGGGCCTCGCCCTTGTGAACACGCAATTAGCAGTAGCTGTGCAGGTTCTGAGCTTTGACATCAGAGAGAACAGGACGGAAACCGCAGCGCCAGTCATTACTAGCTATGGTTTCTCAGGAAAATTCTCACCCAGGTTCCTTTTCTGTACAGTGAAGTTCATGACAGTGACGACCTTGTAGTGTCACTGTGAGAAGTAATTGACATAAGAGGCATCACACGTGCAGCAGTGATGGTACCACCATGTAAGCCCACAATAAGTGCCATTTATTATTATTTTCATGACCCCAGCACAGCCCTAGCCCCGGTAGCTCTCCATCAAATCTCCCTCTAATTTTCCTGATTAAAACCTGACTAGAAACATATGCAACAAGTCCTTCCCTTACTGAGTCAAGCCTTCAAATCTTTTTAATAAATGTTTCCTCTAAGTCCAATTTCGTGGCGAGAGAAAAGTAAGTTTCCTTTAAGAGCCCCAAATACATTGTTGCATATGCCATAAATGCTTGACTCACCTCTTCTCTACTGACCTACATTTTCGTTGAGACATGCTCTACTTTCGATGGTGATCTTTATTCAGTCAGTAAATCTTCAATGAACAACTACTATGTGCCTAGCACTATTCTCAATGTTGAGGATATGGAATCAAAACAAAGCAGACAGCTGGCTACTCTCACAGAGTCGACACTGTGGGGAAAAACAGACAATAAACATGCGAACAAGTAAATCACTTAACTATGGGGAAAGACAAACAATAAACACGTGAACAAGTAAATCACTTAACTTCTCATGTGGTTAACGCTTTGAGGAACGTAAAACAGGGGTGTGTGAAGAAAGCAAGTCAGGGTGGGAGGGCAGGTGGCCTGTAGATTGTGTGGCCATGGAGACTCTAAATGACAGGGAGACGCAAAACATGCAAAGATGGAGATGAGCATTCCAGGCCAGCGGAATGGCCAGTGTAACGACTGTAGGGTGGGAAGAACTTGGTCTGTTCTGGAAACCCACAAATTTATGGGGGAGCAAAGGTGTTTCGCTCAGAGAGAGCCAGGGGCAGGTGCCTGGTCTCAGGGGACTACTGGGGTTATGGGAAGAAATGTAGGTCTTTTTCTAAGAGTAATAAGCTACTTGAGGGTTTAAGTGGAAGAAAGACATGATCTGATCTGAATTTTAGAGCAATCACTGTGGCTGGATATGGAGAATAGGTTGGAAGGGGGCAAAAGGAAGCAGACTGGCCAGTTAGGGGGAGGAAATGGTGGTGTGGAAAAGAGGGGGCAGTGGCAACAGAGACAAGCAGACAGATTTGGGTTGTATTTTACAAGTCAAGCCAATCTGTCTAGTTATACGTGATTAAAGAGAGAGAGTGTTTCACTGGCAATGGGTCCTGACGTTTGCAACAATCTGCCATTCGATCCTGACTTTGATCTGCTCCATGGCAAGGTCTGTTAACTCTGATCTCCACCTGAATTAAGAGCGTTATAAAAAATGGCTTTAAATGCTCAGGGGTTACTTCAAGCAAGAGTGCCCTAAAATAAGAAGTACCTCTGAAAATATGTGTAGACACCAATCCACCCAAAACGCCTGGGTGCCACCAAAGACAGGGGCTGGTCAAGTCTCCTTGCTGTGTCTCCATCCCGGGAAGCCCCTCTTCCCTTCAGGCAGCACGATGCAGTAGAAAGAGCATGGGGGTGGCACCCGCAGGGGCTGTGTCTTCACCTGAGAGGGCTTCACCAGCTTCAAGATCAGTGTCCAGTTGCTTAATCTCATTGGGCATCAGGTTCCACCTCAAGAGCAGGGGCTTACAGAGATAACTGATGCATTCTGACCAGCACATGGTCACTGCTCCGTAAACTCTCACTGCTCAGCATCCCTGTTCTTAATAACCAGTGGTTTGCTCAGCTTTCCTAATTTTTTTCAGAGCTGACCCTCCCCGAATTAGGTTTCAGAGTAAGAAATAAATGTCCTACACCACCACATCCCTCCTACTTTATTTACCGTGTTAGTCTGGGTCCTCCAAGAAGCAGCCATCAAGACTGGATTGAACATACAAGAATTTTATGAGGGGAAATACCTCCAAGAGAAAATACAAAGAGATCGCAGCAAGGCTGGGACAGCTGTCAGACCCCAATGCAAGGCTGATCCCGAGTGAAGGAGAGAAGGGAGGATGGTAGATAGAAGCGTCCTAGAGTGCCAAGCCCTCTAAGAAAAGTTTGACAAAGTTGTCAGGGAAACTTCAAGCCAAAGTTGACCATCAGAGGAGCCCCATGTCACCAGAAATAAGCCTGTCTTATTAACCTTGCAGATCTCACTTGCTGGCTGGAAGCAGTCATTGCAAGGCACCTTAAATCTCCGATGAAGCCAGCCAGGTTAGAGATATCTGGATTATTGACCAAGGATGATTTCTGTTGATCCAACTATTTATGTGGTGGGATTCATAGGTACTTCTAGAGCCTCTTCTCTAATCTCAACTCTAAGTGGGCTTCTGAAGGTCTTTATTACCTATACCCATGGTTATGGTTTTGCATCCTTTTGTACCACTTCATAGTCACTTGCCTCACCCCACTCCTGGCAGGCCTGGAGCCTTAGGAATGCTGGTAAGAAAAAAATGCCAACATATCATCTTTCTCTTCTTTAGACACAAATAGGCTTCTCACCACAATATAGTCAGGCATTCATACCCAAGCACCGCAGTGATTAGTTTATGAAGTTCCCACCCCACTGTGGAGATTATCTACCCCACCAGTAACACCTCCTTCGTGGAAAACTTTTGCACATGGCGCTGAGTCCCTGTTTCCCGTAAGCCCTTCCACCATCCGAGGTGACTGTCACGTGGATGATTTCCTGCCTGCTTTGACTTCCGTCTCCACCTACCTCCACTGCCCTCCTGCTTCAATCATGCATTCTTGTAGCCACACCTAGACCTCAGCTTCAGGAGAGATGGCCTTACCTCTGAAATATTAAAATCAGACAACTCCTTTTCTGCCCGAAGCCTCGCATTTCAGAAATTATCCGAGGGGGGTGCACAGACCCTTTGAACGAGAATTCCCTGGGCTATTTGTTAAATATGCACATCCCAGCCCATACCTCAGATCTATGGGTTTAGAATTTCTAAAAGAGGTACTTAGAAATCTACATTTTTAAAAAAGCTCCCTAGATAACACTTATGCACAGTTGAGTTTAAGAACCACTCACTACCTATCAGCCGGGCCCCGCATTACCCTCACCACACCTGGACTTCAAACCCACAGAACCCTCTGCTCCCTGGCTCCGCAGCATTCATTCCGCCAGCCCTTCCTGTCATCGCTTCCCGCCTGTCCTGCACACACCCCATGTTCCACCACTTCAGCCCTCTTGACAATTTCAATTTTCTTGCCCAATAAGCCACCCTTGTCCAGCAAAACCCTGGTCCTAGGACAATCCACCTACTAACTTTTTCCCATTGGGGCTTATTGATTTATTTATCCTTTCACTAAAATGTTGCTCAATGCCCAAAGCATTCTAATCATTAGATAAAGTAATTGAGTGAGTGACTGAGTGAGTGAGTGAGTTTAATCCATGATCATTTGCCCTTAAGGAGCTCACGGCTGAGTGGGCATGCTACCTCAGTGAAAGAAGTAAGCACAGGGCATTATGGATGCATGAAGTAAGCACAGGGCATTATGGATGCATGAAGGAAAGGATGCCAACCCAGTTTGAGCTGAAGCAAGATTAGGAAAACATGCTGGATGAGGTGTCTCAGATGAGTCAAAGAATAGTGAAAAGGGGGTAGAAAGAAAAAGTACAGGGGGAGGCGGTCCAGGCTGCAGGGAAGTGAGAACAGCAGAGCAGGTGTGGAACGTGAAAAGCACGTCAACGCTGCTGAAGCGTGAAGTTCACGGCGTGGAGGGGTGATAATATTTTCCAAACAAAAACCCAGGATATATAGCCCCAATGAGGCGGAATGTTCCAAATCAGGAATGTCTCAGAAAATACCAGAGATGATGTCACCAATACACTGGTTAGTTAGGGCTCAATCTACCGCCTCTTACACACACTCCAGCCCCTACACACCCCTCAAATCCTCACTCGAAACCACCAGACAATAAAACTCACCATGCGAGATTCTCGGAGACTCTTCTCACATCAACTCTAGTAGTATTTATAACAGTGAAAAAATAAAGAATACCCAAGCATTCATCAATCGGAGATTGGCTAAATCAATTGTGGTACATTCAAATACACTATGCCATCATATTAGACTTTATTTAATAATAATAACATGAGAAAATCCTCACAACGAATATTTTTTAAATAAAGCAAGTGTATTCAGTTTATCCTACATGACCTCTGTTTTTTTCTTTTTTTTTTTTAAATCTATGTGTATATGGTAACATGATATATCATCATAGAACAGAATAAATGATTAGGTTCCAATTTTTTTCTAGTCCTACTCTGATCTATTCTTCATGCCATAGTCAGATCGATATTTCTAAAATGCAAATCTTATAACTACCTAAAACCCTTCAAATTCCAAACTCCTTTATCGTGGAGCCCAAAAGTCAATATCAACTGGCCCCTTTCCAACGCCTGTCCTTCTATACCATCTCTCACCTTTGGGCCTTTGCACATGCTGTCCCTTCTCCTGAAATGCCTTTCTCCATTCCCTTCAACTTCCTGACTAGCTCTGCTCATCCTTCAAGATGCGAGTTACGTGTTACTGACTGTGCCTCGTCCCCCGACCACCATCACTGTCAAGCCATAATCCGGAACCTCTCCTGTATGCTCCCATCACACCCTGTGCTCTCCTCATAGCATTTAACCTCCATGATGACAGAAACCGTGTCTGTCTTACACATCGAAAAAAGTCTGTGTTAGTTATCTATTGCTGCACATCACATTTCCCTAAAACTTGGTGGCTTAAAACAACAAACATGTATTATCGCATACAGTTTCTGAGAATCAAGAGACCAGGAGTATGTTAACTGTGTGACTCCAGCTCATGGTCTCTCACGAAGTTATAGTCCAGATATTGGTGCGGGCTGCAGTCATCTGAAGGCTTGACTGGGGCTGGAGAACTCATTTCCAAGATGGTTCAGTCACATGGCTGTTGGCAGGAGGCCTCAGATTTTGTCACCATTTGCATGTCTTTATTAGGTTGTTTGAATATCTTCATGATATGGCAGCTAGCTTCTCTCAGGGAGAAGAAACCAAGAGAGAAAGCAAGGATATAACAGATTCAACATCTTTTTAAAATTCCAATTGTAAATACAAGAAAACACAAAAAAGTCAGGTGATATGACACAGCTAGTTAGCATCGGAGGCAACATTTGAAAACAGGCAGTCCGTCTCCAAAGCTCTCGTTCTTAATCATCATGCTATACTGCTTCTCTAGGCAAATCAGTACATATTTTCTTCCCTAAATAACCTAGTTTCTGGTTCATACTATATGCCAAGCACTGTGTTAGATACTTTAGGAGACATTTCAGTCATGCACACATGTCCTCCCCCTCCCCCCAAATCCCCAAGATTTTGGGGTAGCCATGGTTTGGAAAGAGAAGGGTAGCCAAAGCTTGTTGACTTCACAAAGCTAGTTTCATAATCCAGTTTCATGGGAAGTGCCAGATTTCTCTGGAGAGGTAACCTGAGCTTAGCTATGTCAGGGCTCTTGAACCAGCAAGGCCAGTATCACCACTGCTAAGGCAGTATGCTCG